CGTGTTCCCACGCTGGGCAGCGATCGGGGCCAGCGCGCTCAAGCGCGCGAGCAGCAGCTGCGCATGGCCGCGTGCCGCGATCGTACCGATCTTGTCGATGAGCTGCTTCTTGATGCGCGCGGCCGCCTCCATCGGACTCACGTCCATCAGCCTGCGCCGCGATTTCTTTGACGAGCGAGTGCGTGTCGGCGCTGACCTCACCAAAAGCGCAGATGACGATCCCGCGGATCGGCTTGACGGTGTTGAGCTTGGCCTCGATCGGGCCGATGCTGGCGTTCGGGCCGTTTAGGTGAGGGCCGGGTAGCGCGAGGTCAAATCCCCTGTCCTGGGTACGAGCTTTCCTGAGATACTCCGCCTCGAGGGGCTCTATATATTTAACATTAGCGACTTGGCATGGGATACCTATATACGTACACAATTGCTACGAGTTCACCACCAACCTCACCTCTACCACCACCATCCCTGCTGTCAGGACTAACGTCTGACGTCGACCAAGTCAGTGAGTGAACAACACCTGTTGAACCATGCTGAGCCGCTATATATATACGCCCAACCCCGCCATCAAGTGGACTCGCTCGCACTCGACGTCTCGGCTCCTTCGGCTCCCTCTTCAACCAGTCCTTCCATCGCGCCCCCGCGCTGCGGCCCGCGCCCTGCACGCGCAAACGAGTTCTTGACATTCAAAACCCCATCGCTTCCCAGCGATACGTCACTGCTGGGATCACCAATGGACTCGCTTGCTCGCGCACTGTCGGTCGGCCCCGCGTTGCGCAGCGACTCCAGCGCTTTGTTTTCGGCTTCCTCCTCATCCACCACTTCTACCAGCTCCCCACTTTGGCGTAGCGTGTAGGAGCCTGCGTCGGAGCGCTTAGATCAGCCTGACTTGAACTTGAAACGTACCGCCAGCCCGAACCCCCCTACATTAATATACGTACAAGCGTAGGTCGAGTCGCATACACGCAGTGGAGGCCCGCGTGGTCGCAGGTGCTGCGTTCAAGAATTGGCTCAGGTGTGGCGGCGCCAACTAGAATACACCTTCGGGAGAGGAATTTTTCCGATCTATTCACGATTCAAAAAAGCAAATTACTTAGCGTCGATCAAGCAGCAGGGTCATGCGATGAGCGATCACGCAGGCGCTGTTGGGAGGCGAGGGGGCGCGGGCGCGGGGACGGGGTATAGGGCTGGGGAAGGGTATGAGCCGGACGAAGGCAGACCGGGCGGAGGCGCGCGGGCATTGGCACGTGGGCGCAGGTGCGTGCAAAAAGAAAGAATTGATGGACCCCTCCAATCTCAACTTAACGCCATTATTTCGAAATTGAATCAAAATAAAATAATTTAAGACCTTGAGGTTGACTTTTGCGTTAGAATTTAGGTGCGGTGTGTTCCTCTCAACGGTGCTGATCCGTTACTACAGCTAACTCCAAAAGGCGGATTCTACTTGACTCCGCCACACCACAGGATTGGTGCGCTTCGCTCAAAAGCCGAGAAAACCGTTTTTTTTTTTTTTTTTTTTTTTTTTTACAATCACACACGCACTAACATGCCAGAGAGGCACATTGTATCGTACCCATAAGCTGTGGCTTGTTGTCAATATAATAATATTACTTATAATTGATTCCGCTCGAGTTCTTTCGTCGTCGTCGGTTCATAACGACGTCACTTTCGCAAGTGAATCCGCCGTTCCAGCAGGTCTTCAGCTGCGCATGAGCTTCGTGACCACCACCGAAATAAATTACATCGTTAAGTTGCCGGACACGCTGATGTCCTTGCCGCATTGTCGCCGCCGCCGCCGCCTTCCATATGCCGCTGTCGTCGTCGTCCCAGCCGCCCACGTTCGACTTTCACCACAGCTTGCCGTCACCTTCTCTCGAGCTGCTGCGGCTGCCGCTGCCACAATTCCCTTCTCCACCACGCCCACACCCTCGCTTTCACC